ATCTATCTATCTATCTATCTATGATTCTTACAGTGAAAGTTATGCAGTAATTGTAAACACAGGATCTGCTCCACTGGCTGCTGCCCAGTGATCTCACTCATACTGCAGACAGCATGACTCGGCACCTCTTCATCACAGTGTATTGAATAATACTAAAGTTACTGCATTCAGAGGATTGAAATAAAAACGCTGCGTTAAACGAAAGCTTGATTAATTTTTCCAGATTTAGAAATATCACATTGTGTATCCCAAAATATTGCAGTTTTAACATCATGGTTATTAAGTTGTGTGCATATATAATTGTACAGTTATATGAATGAACAGTCTGTGATTGTATGGTAATTATTTCTTTGAAACAAACCGATGTGTTACTGTTAAAAATTTGATCCGTTAATCTAATTCGTAACACATACATAAATCTAAACTCATTAATAACACTGCAGATTTGTGGCAGGTAAATCTATAGCGTGACTGTGGTGTGCTAGTTTGTAATCGTTCACTCGGTGACTTACACGACTAGCAGGACTGCAGTTGGCCCCGTGTCTTGTGGCTCAGCTGATGGAAAGCACCAGATGGTGCGCAGTGCTTGGCAGCCCCCCTCCACCCCATCCCATCTCATATGCAGAAATTAGCTACAAGCCAGTCCTACAAGCTAACACCACATACACTGCAGGGCCAGTTTTAAGTAAAAGTAATACAGTCATGAATTCTGCTTCGCCTGAAGCTGTGTTACATGATGTGTTTCCTAGGAAACAATAACAGAAAGTAATTTCCTTTGTGTCCTTCGGATGTAAGTCTATATTTGATGTTACACTGATGCAATTAAATCTGCAGCAGTGTGATGGAAGAGGTGCTGTGCACTTTAAGGCAAGCTTGGCTTGTTCTCATTGAGTCTCTAAACATTCTTCATTGTAAATGCCTGGCAGTGGGTGCTCTCAGATAAAATTAAACCTTCAATCCTAGCAGCCAAATATTTGATAGAGGACCCTAAAGCTATTATAAAAAACTCTTTTAAGGCATTAGTAATGAAGACTGCCTGCGTGCAACTACATAAAAGGTGTTATTTACATTTATTGAAGGTTTTATACAGATTTATATACTCACTTTTTCCCTAATAATATTACTACATATAACCACGAGGCCTCACCTTCCTCTGTGTGTCGAGCTCTGTCACTGTATATTTGTTCTAAGAAACATATTGCTTACAATATACATCACAAAACATCTTTATACTGTGAAATAATAATTGTACAGTGGCGTGACAATGATGAAGATGATGAGTGGGATGGCTCAGTTTGCCAGAGAGCATGTTGATGTGCAAAGACTGCTGAGTGCAGGAGGGCACAGTGTCACCTTGAAGAGCCCCACGCAGCTGAGTCAGGCGTTGCTGCATTGATTCAGAAATGCTCACCAGGAAAAGGCAGACTGTCAACTAATGTGCAATAACCCCAACTCCGAATGATTTAACAGTAGCTGTGGTGAAAGATTGAAGACTATAAGTCTGTTGTTAAGTCTCATTAAATGACATGTCTCATTCTATTCATGCAGTTACATGTTAATTTTGTAAGGACTTTTTAAAAATACATATTTTCTCCATGTCACCTGATCACACACAGTTTTATTTCAGTGTGGTGCATTCTTGCTGTACATTAAAACCAGCTCTCTCTCCTCACATCAATCCTGCATAGCTGGATAACAGTGTGCAAATTGGTACTTTGGTGCCCGTGGGAAGCCCAGAAGTATCTGTCATTCTGGAGGGACGAGGCCTAAAAGGAGGAGGTAACATGAAAACCTGCACATGTATGCAATCAATGAGTCAGTATTAAAGAGAATCTTACACAGTGTGTCTTTACAGGAAGGTTTGGACAGACAACACCTCCGTTAGTTGAATTTTTGAAAGATATCCTGAGGAGATATCCTGAAGGTGGACAGATTCTAAAGGTAAGGATGCTTTTTAAAAAAAAAAGTGTCTGTATAGACTACATATTAAACATAATTAGCATACAGAGGTTGTACAGAATTTATACATTTCTGATCTGTTTAAAGTTGGCTATTTAGTTATTATTTTTAGTACACATGCATCGGATTGGCGGTATTTTATGAGTTTATATCATCAGTCTGCTATGGTAGGGATTCATCCAAGAGAAGGCTGTTTGTAGGCAAAAAAAAAGATTTTAAATGAGAAAATATGCCAAGTTTGCACAGAATCAAACGTCATAGTTTTATTTTGACTTTAACTTGCCGATCTCAGGTCCTTTACCATATATGGTTGTACTTTTTCCAAAGCTGAAGGTCTTAATTTTTCTGGCAAGGCCTTTTAGATAAAATTATCCACCTATAAAGCTGATATTTCAGTGTGGCTTTGTTACAAGGCCCTGTCTTCATATTTGATGATCTTTCCTCTGTTTTATTTTGAAGGAGCTGATCCAAAATGCTGAGGATGCTGGAGCCACAGAGGTCAAGTTCATGTACGATGAGACAGAGTATGGAGCGGAGTCACTGTGGTCACCTGACATGGCTCAGCATCAAGGTTAGCAGTCAGTAACAAGTTAAGTCCAGCATAGCCCAGTGATCAGCTCTTAAATCAGAGGGCAAACCTTCAAGCTCTCATGCTGGCAAGAATCTGTCCTGGTTAAATATCTGTTAGCAGCTATTCTGTTACTCTGACTTCTTTGGGAAGAGAGGCAACAATTTAGTCAAAGAAAATACATTATCTTTACTCACTCATTTTAGAATAATCACATTTGTTTTTCGGAGTTTTTCCCAGCATGGTCACGTTGATTCTGATTTCCAGGAACAGCACTGTACGTGTACAATGACGCTGTGTTCACTGTGGAAGACTGGAATGGGATTCAGGAGATCGCAAGGAGCAGGAAGAGAGAAGATCCTTTAAAAGTTGGACGATTTGGCATCGGCTTCAATTCCGTGTACCATATTACAGGTACAGTGTTATTTATCTAGCGAAATGTTGAATGATGTTTTGTTTTCTCATGTGGAGTCAGTGTGTTGAACCAAGGAATATTTACCTGTATTTTCCAGAGTCTGACCGCAACCAAATTTAGACAGAGAGGCAGTAAGTTTGGAACATAAATCACAGTGGTAACAAATCGCAGATAATTACCTCCAGAGATCCTTCCACTGATTTTAAAGGCTGCAAAAACAATTTCACTAATGCATTTACTGAAATGTCCAAGCAAAGCAGAAGCCCAAATAAATATCTACGTCTTCCAGTCAACACTGGGCATGAAACGTGGTGCACCCTGCCTGGTCATAGAGCAGAGTGTTATTGTTTTGTATCTTCTGATTATTTTGTATTTTTATTTCATTTTGTCTTTTTTTTAATCATTTAAGTTTCATTTAGTTTCCAGAGTGTGTTTCCTCGTTTTACTTTAGTTTTAGTCCTCCCACATGTGGAGGGTATGTCCTGGTCTAGTCTGGTTTTTATTTTTATTTCAGTTAACTACAATTGTTTTTCACATCTAGTCTTAGTTTTTAATTTAGTTTTAGTTAACTGTAATAAGCTTACTACCATTCATGGTGACATCAACAACTACAACATGTCTTTGGACTGTGGGAGAAACCCAGAACACCTGCAAAAATCCTTCACATAGAAACATCCCACCCGACCATCAGGTTCAAACTCAGAAACATTTGCCGTAAGGCGACTGTGCCACTTGCCTAATATGCTGATCTGAATGTAACCACTTATCATTGTTAGCTATTATTGTTGTTCTTTGTATGTATGTTTCAGATGTTCCCAGTATATTCAGTGGAGACCAAATCGCCATGCTGGACCCCCATCAGACCCTGTTTGGCGTGAATGAGTCGGGCCAATGCTGGAACTTGAAGTCGGACATTAAGGAGATCACGGAACTAGCTGACCAGTTTGCTCCATACTTTGGGATGTTTGGGAGTTCCAATCAAACCATTCAGGACGGCCACTTTCCTGGAACTCTGTTTCGCTTCCCGCTTCGCATGAAACCATCTCAGCTCAGCAGCAACATTTACAACAAGGAAAAGGTTTTGGAGCTTTTTGAATCTTTCAAAGCTGACGCAGACACGGTGCTCCTCTTCCTTAAAAGTGTGCAAAAAATATCCTTGCATGTGCGCGAGTCTGATGGCACAGAGCGCATGTTGTTTCAGGTTACAGCAATGGAGAATACTGATGATAAGCTAGAAAGACCGAATGCACTGAAGATACTGGGACAGGCTATAGACAGCTATAGCAACGGGGTTCCCAGCTCTGCCATCACGTGCGTCACTTACCAGCTCAACATCGAGACTCAGGATGAAACGGCTAAAGAGACCCAGAGGATGACGTGGCTGGTGTGTAATGGAGTTGGGGGAAGAGGGATGTGTGCTGAGTTGGACTCTTTGGCAGATGATTTGAAGTTTATGCCTAGCATAGGCATTGCTCTGCCTCTTACTCTGTTTAACAGAGAGGACCAAGGTGCAACATCCGGTTTCTCAGGACGAGCTTTTTGTTTCCTTCCTCTTCCTCCTGGAGAAGAGAGCGAAACGGGCCTTCCTGTTCATGTCAGCGGCTTCTTTGGCCTCACGGACAACCGCAGGAGTATCAAGTGGCGGGAAGTGGACCAGTGGAGGGATCCAGCTGCCTTGTGGAATGAGCTTCTTATAATTAGTGTCATCCCGAGGGCTTACTTCACTCTCATAATTGAGGCTATCAAAAGGGTACAGATAAAAAAGGACCAAGACTTTCCATTGTCTCCTACAGGAAGCTATAGGGCCTGGCCAGACCCTAAGCGGGTCAAGTCCCGCTGGAAACCCATTCTCCAGCCACTATTTGATGAATTGTTGCAGCACCAAGTAATCTATTCCCTCAGCGAGAGCTGGGTCAGGGTGGACCAGACTGTGTTCTCAGAGCTGGACACAGACGATGGCATTTCAGAGACTGTGATCAACTACCTCCAAAGCTCAGGAATGCAGGTGGCAAAGGTGCCTTCTGCTGTGGACTTTGTCTTGGCTGCCTACATGACTCAGTCCGGTGAAGTGAGGAAGGTGACGCCATCGTTGGTGCGGCAAGTGATCAGGAAGAGCAGACACACAGGTCCCTCACAGGAGAAGCTGCTGCTGCTGGAGTTTGCACTTGGAGATGCTAATTACAGTGACCTTATAGGACTTGAGCTCCTGCCACTCCAAGATGAGACCTTTATAACGTTTTCATCCTCTGTGACCGAAAAAGATGCCATTTACATTGCTTCTGAGGAGTACCCCAGGTACAGAGTGAGATGGTTTATTTTTGCATATAAGCTTCTGCCAGTTTCGTCATGTTTTTGTAATTCTCTTCTTATTTTGATTTCTTTTATTATTCCTGAATTGATTTTAACAGGAGAAGACAATATTATTTTATATATTTTACCATAAACTATTCACACGTTGTTTTTTTCATGGATAAGGAATCCATTTCTCATTTTCCTTTTGTCAAGCATTAGTTCCAAATACATTTATATAAACAGTCTGGTTCATTCTTCATGGCTTTAAGTAAGATTACTGCTCTTTGCAAGGTTTAGTGGCAAGGTAAGAAATTTCCATATTAGGAAGGCTGATGCTGATTTATTCAGAAATATTGACAGACTAATTGCATGATTATCTAGTGAGTATTGCTGATGCCTTTGAAAAATGAGACAATAATACAACTTAAAAAAAGCAAACTGAATTACATGCACAGTGTGAAATCTGCTGTCCCTCTGTGAACATGACCTTTGATAGCTTCTTGTTTGAAAACTGTGCCTGCCGTTATACAAACTGCATCCAGCTGGATTTGGCTTTATGTGTAAACTCAGAATTAAATTTGCAAAATTTATGACCTTTTTTTTAACTTCATCCTAAGGTCTTTGTATCCAGGACTGGAGCATCGATTCATATTAGAGAGTATCAAGCCTTCAGTGATGGACAGTTTGAAGAAAGCTGCCAAATGCAGAGGTAATTTCACCTATTTTTTAATAAATGTATATATAATCAGCTTTATTCCAGCAGTGACCAGCAGAGAGTTTGACAATGTTAAACATTTTTAACAGATTTTTATTTGTAATCTTGACAATAGGAATTGAATCTAATCTGTTAGATTAAGTGTCTTTTTAGGGAAGCCTAAAAAAAATAATTATTTATTTTATTATATTTCATTTTGATTTAAAGTATTGTGTTAACTTTTTAGTTGGCCTGTATCTCCAAAAGAAAATCTTTGCAGTCCTGTGATGAAGTAGGTTATGTGGGTTCAGCCATGTTGTAACACTGGACTGTTGTACTCTCGGCATGCCAGCGGGGCAGTAAATCTGGTACCCAGCTGATAGGCTGATAGAAAATTTAGGGGAGAGAGAGAAAATGGAAGAGAGAGTGAGCACGCTGATTCATCGATGAGTTGTTTTTGTGCCACGCAATCCACTCGGTCTGCAAGAGCAGATCCTGAGTGCACGCTCTGCCATACTCATGCCATAGTCAGAGCAGAGGAAAAGTGCTGAAAAAACAATTTTCTCCCCAAAGCCCAAAGTAGAAGACACAGACAATACTCCATTTATACATAGCTGCAACAATTTGGAACTAACCGCTTATTATTTTTCTGCTAGCTAACATTTTGCTATTATTCATTTTTATTACATAAAGAATTGTCTGTGAAGGTTCTCAGTCATCCAGGTCATCGTAGTCAAAGGAGCTTGCAAAGAAAAGCGTCTGGACTTCTTTAAGTTGCTTGAAGACGTTTCACCTCTCATCTGAGAAGCTTCTTCAGTTCTAAGGTCAAATGGTGGGGAGTCCCAGATTTAAACCTAGTGGGAGTAACCCCCCACAGAGGGACAAAGGGACCGCGTCTCAATCAGCCAGGGTTTCGGGTGAGCTCATTGTGAAACCTGGCCCCACCTTATCATGTGAATTCCTGAGGTCAGATGGCCCAGGATGTGAGTGGGCGTTAAGGTGTCTGGGGAGGGAACTACATAAAGAATTCAATTTTAAACAGACATCTTAACTGTACTTCCAAACCTTGGCCTTGGTGGGTAAGGCCTTAATGTTACTCAGATATACAGAAGTCCTGAACTGAAAAATTATCATTTGTTTACTTTTTAAGTTCTTTATTTTACCACATTTTTTTAAGAAACAGTAAAAGTCATCCCACATCTCTTAAATTTTACAGTGCAACAGTTTCTATGGGGGTGTTCAGGTAAGGCATTTCAAAGTGTGTGACCTTTTTATTATTAACCTAAACTTATATGTTGGATTGATAAGACTGGATTCAGATTGGCATGACTTTAGTATCTTACTGATCGTATCATGTATGTATGTGTGTTCCCCAACTCCTTGGCACTTTTGAAGCCTTATCATCATTATCTATAAATGAGTCTTCATCAAACAGTGACATCAAACACAATGTTTATATAGCTTGCAAAGAAGAATTAGAAGAAATATATTTATTTAATATTTTTTGGCTTAGTGTTTATCAACAACTGTTTTTGCCATCTCACTATATAAAGTGATATAAGGTAAAAATGAATAACATGATAAATTACCATGCATGTCTGTGTTTTAATACATGAGCGAAGCGCCACAGGCCTGGAAAAAGCATTTTTTTCCTTATTAAATTAACAATTTGTGTGTGTGTGTATGAATACACAGTAAAGTTTGTGCAAGCGTGTTTGCATGACTTACATGTCTTAAATATATTTAGATTCTGAGTATTTGAGGTGATGTGTCTGAGGAAAGAAATGTACTCATCATTTAATGAGTAAAATTTGACAAGAGACTAAGAAGAAAACAAAACACTTCAAAAATGAAATGACATTGTGTGGCTGAGCTATGAATGAAAAGGTGCATTTAAAGGTGTAGCAGCTGTATCAATAACAAGAACAAACCTAACCCATTGATCAGATTTTATTTTCTGTGTCTGTAATAATAACTTGTGCTAATTTCTAAATTTCACTGTTATAACAGGTAGACCCTGCACTCAGCTACAAGTGCTGAACCCTGAACGTTCAGCTCGACTCATCAAGGAGATCCTGTCAACAGCCTGGCCAACCAGAGACTTTAAAGTTCATTGGGATCCTGGAAACAGGGAGTTGAAGCATCCTACACTTTCCTGGCTAAAGTTGATTTGGAAGCATCTCTATATATATTTTGCTGATGACCTAAATACATTTGAAGACATGCCTTTGATCCCACTTGTGCCACTCGAGGAAAGCACACACACAGTGGAGCTTCTTCGTTTCAAAACTCCATCACCCATAGTACTTGTGGATGAGGAAGAGGCGCCACTTTCTGAAAACGTGCTTGACATCATAGAAAAGCTTGGAGGAGTAGTGATAAAAAAGCTGGATCCCTGTTTGCAGCATCCTCTGCTAAAAAATTACATTCACCCATGCTCTCCTGGTATGCTTCTGCAAATTATGAGTAGAACATCAGCCCAACGATTATCAAGCCAAGTCTCTTCTTTCTCAGTGGAAGAGAAAATTGCACTCAGAAATTTTCTTGCAGGGCTGTCTGACATTACAGAGAAGGAGAAGTATATCCTACTTGACCTTTCCATCTTTAAAAAACTGGGTACATGCTCTAAAGGTACCTCAGCATTCACATCACTGAGAGGGGCCAGAGCTTTACACCACAGAGCCAAGCACCCGCCAGATGTGAAATTATCTGAAAATCTTGTTTCTTGCTCTGATGAGGAATCAATTCGCCTCATCAAAATGCTAAATGTTGAACAAGTGAAAACAACAGAATGTTTCAAAATGATTATTCAGGATATTGAGAGAGGTTACTACACAACAGATGAGACAACTGAAATCATGCTCTGGGCTCTTAAACATTTGGCTTTTCTAAAGAATGAAAACTCAGCCGTGATTGGATGGCTTTCTGCTCTTAAATTCATTCAGCTGCCTTGTGGAAAGTCAGTCAAAGCGACAGATCTTTTTGATCCTGAGCTAGAGATCCTGCAAAATCTATTCTTCATGGAGGAAAAAAACAGGTTTCCCACAAGTACATTCACATCATCTCCAGATATTCTTCATTCACTCAGACAACTGGGACTAAGAAATGAAGTACAGCTCAGTGAAAAAGATGTACTTCGAGTGGCAAAGAAGATAGAGGAGTTGCAAAGCAGTGAGGAACCTAAATGGGACTTGATAATTAAAAAAGCAAAAACACTGCTGCAAATACTTAACAAACAGACCAAGCTTGTAAAATCAGCTGATGCTCAGACAGCTTTGCTTAAACTAAAATGGGCACCGGTCTGTAAAGACAGACCCTTAACTTACCCTAAATCTCTTGCTTGGGTTGGAGATACTCTCCATATCTGCTCTTTGTCTGAAATGTGTGAAATATCCCATGCAGTGCTTGTGGGATCTTCAGTACCACTGGTTGAACACACATCTGCAGGTATGAAGAAGGCACTGAAACTGACTATGGAGCCACAAGTGGATCAAGTATTACAACACTTGAAAGCAGTGAATGACTGGCATAAATCTCAGGCATTCACCACAGAGGATTGGTATCAGTTCCAGCAGATCTTGTTTGAGATTTATGGCTTCATGCAGGCTCATCTTGAGGATGCAAGAGAAGCAATGAAATCACTGCCTTTTGATTGGGTGTGGACAGGGAAGACGTTCTCATCACCTGGCCAGACAGTTTTAAAAGCCCTCCCTGATCTAGACTTGCAGCCTTACCTCTACTCTCTGCCCAAGACAATTAGGAAGTTTCACAAGCTTTTTAAGTTCTGTGGTTCAGTTGAAGAGGTTGTCCCAGACCATGTGTTCAAAGTCATTGCTCTCATTCGACAGAGATGTGAAGGAGAGATGACCAAGGAAGAAAGCAAACGTGATATTCTACTTTTAATCAACATCCTGAGATGGCTGTACAACAATCAGATACCTGTAGACACTAACATGCATGTGCCCATTCTTTGTTACAAGGACCCAAGCAGGTTAGCGATGAAGCCCATCCATGAATGTACCTACTGTGATATCAAAGTTGATGATTTGAACGACTTACTCGAAGACGCTTCAGAACCAATTATATTGGTCCATGATGACATTCCTATGAAAACAGCAGAGTGGCTGAAGGTCCCATGTTTGAGCACACGCTTGATAAACCCAGAGAATCTTGGCTTTGAACAGTCTGGCCAACAAGAACCTCTAACAGTGAGAATAAAAAATATCTTGGAGGAATATCCATCTGTAGCAGACATTTTCAAAGAGCTTCTTCAAAATGCTGATGATGCAAGTGCAACAGAATGCAGTTTTCTCATTGACATGAGAAAAAACACTGACATTCGGGAGAATCTCCTTGACCCTGGCATGATTGTTTGCCACGGGCCTGCCTTGTGGTCTTTCAATAATGCCGTATTTTCAGACACAGACTTTCTGAACATCACAAGATTAGGTGGATCAGTGAAAAGGTGTGAAGCAGACAAAGTTGGCAAGTTTGGCTTGGGTTTTAACTCTGTTTATCACGTTACAGATATCCCCATCATAATGAGCAGAGAGTTCATGATTATGTTTGATCCAAACATTAATCACATCAGCAAGCACATCAGAGACAGGTCTAATCCAGGGATCAAAATCAACTGGAACAAACAACAGAGGAGGCTGAGAAAGTTTCCCAATCAGTTCAAACCTTTCATTAATGTCTTCAACTGCCAGCTTCCTTTAGCTCAGGACTCGCCATACAAATACAATGGTACACTGTTCAGACTTCCATTCAGAACAGAGCAGGAAGCGTCAGTAAGTGAAATCAGCAGTCTGTACTACAATACCACAGATATCTACTCTCTCGTTGATGAGTTCAGCATATGTGGACACAGATTCATTCTGTTCACTCAACATGTTGGAAGCATGGTCTTGAAATACCTGAAATATGAGGAACCAAATCCAGCAGGAGCGCAAGATGTCGTGGTAATAAACAAAAGTGTGTGGTCATCCAAAGCCTCATATGGACCTCTAAGTATCCTAAAATCTGCAGCAAAGGTTATGAAGAAAGTAGCAAGCACCAGCAAGGTACCTTCTGATGTTCCCAAGTCTGGATGCATCATACGTGTTATGGTGGAGGAGTTTCACAATGTGTTCAAGCGCATTGTTGATCTCCACTCCCCACTGTTCCGAGGTTCAGAGGAAGATCCTAACCAGTACTTTGAGATGGCTGCTAAAGGTGTTCAGACAAGAAGACTCACAGATGAAATGCCCCAGAAGGCAGTTGAGGTCACGAACTGGCTCATTTGCTCATGCATGGATGCAAATGAGGCACTCAAATTTTCCCTTAGTGATAGTGGAAAAAGATTAGGACTAGTGCCTTGTGGAGGGGTGGCCATTCTTCTCTCAGAGGAAGAGAATAGAAAATGGACAGTGAAGACAAATGCAACACCAATCGGAGAGGTGTTTTGTTACTTACCTTTAAAAATCAAAACAGGCCTACCAGTCCAAATTAATGGCTGCTTTGCTGTGACATCAAACCGTAAAGAGATTTGGAAGACAGACACCAAAGGACAGTGGAATTCTATATTCATGAGACATGTCATTGTCCAGGCCTATTTAGCAGCTCTCACCATGCTACGGTTAATGGCCGAAAGTGGAGAACTACTGAAGTATAACTACTATGCAGCTTGGCCAGATCCAGGTCAGGTACATGATGACTTCAGACTGATCAGCCAGGGTGTCTACCAAGAAATAGCCAAAGGAGGTGACAGTGAGCATGCAAGAGTTTTCTCAGATGGCAAAACGTGGGTGTCAATCAAATGTGTCAGATTCCTTGATGATGCCTTACTCTGCAGGTCAGACATAGGACCCGCTGCTTTCAAAATCTTCTTGAAATACCTCAAAAAGAGTGGCTCACAAAACCTCTGTGCTGTTGAGCTGCCTGACTGGGTGAAGGAAGGATTTGATGATGCTGGGTGCAAAGGAAAGCTGATGGAAAACACCCTGACAGAGAAGCAGTTCTTTTCAGATGTCTTTTTCCCACACATCCAGGAAATTGACAAAGAGCTTAGGGACCCTCTAATGCATTATGTTTTGAATGAGAAACTAGAGGATTTTGCATCAATCCTCAGGGTTACACCTTGTATCCCATGCTCCGGCCCCAACACGGAACTGGTTTTACCTTCTAAACTTATTCACCCAGAGGGAAGAGTTGCTAAACTCTACAACGCTGATGATGGAAGATTTCCTGAAGGAACTTCTAAAGACTATGTAAACCCTGTATGTTTAGTAAAGCTAGTGCAGTTAGGTATGGTAAAAGACGATCTGTCATGGGAGGACCTGATTGAGCGTGCTCATTCTGTCATGGATCTTAATGAAAGTGATCATACAGCTGCATGCTTCCGTAGTAGTATACTACTCAATCTCATTGACGAAAAGCTGAAGATGAGAGATGAAGGAACAGCTGAGCATTTGGAGAAACTGCAGGACATCAGGTTTCTTCCATTCCTCACAAGGCCTGCAGGATTCTCTCTCCCATGGCATGGGAACAACTTTTCCCCAACAACAATGTTCTCTGCCAGAGAGCTCTTCACAACTGAACATCAGGACACAGTGTGTCTGATGAAGCCAATCCTGAACGAGAATTCCCCATCCTTTAAAGGTTGTGGTGCAATCTCGCTAGCTGTGAAAGACTGTCTTGGTCTAATAAGGAAACCCTCAGTTGGACTGGTCATCAGTCAGCTAAAGAAGCTCTCTCAGGCTTTTGATGGTGTAACTCTGTATCAGGAAAACATAACAAATGCCTGTTACAAATATCTTCATGAGGAGATGCTACAGGACGAAAGTGCAAAAGATCAGATAACTGAGGAACTGAAATCCTTCAGCTCCATCCTGGTAGAGAACACATATGTCAGTCCTTCCAAAGTTGCTTTCCACCTAAATTTTGATGCAGCTCCACATCTTTACCAGCTCCCCAACAAGTACAGAAACAGCTGCCGTGAGCTTTTTGAAAGTGTTGGGGTACAACCTAGCTTCACAGTGGAAGATTTCTCAGCTGTTCTGGAAACTATGAAGCAAGAATGTGGACGAAAAGTACTCAGTGAGGAAAACTTCCAGTTATGTCGCAGAATTATTAGTGAAGGAATATGGAGCCTAATACGAGACAAGAACCAAGAATACTGTCAAGTGAATTATGGTGAGATTCTGTTACCCGACTCCAATCTAATGCTGCAGCCATCAAAATCCCTGTGCTACAATGACTGCCCCTGGATCAAAGTCAGAGACTCAACGGTGAAATACTGTCACGGGGATATTCCAAGAGAGGTTGCTGTAAAATTAGGAGCAGTCCCAAAACGTCATAAAGCATTGGAGAGATATGCCTCAAATGTCTGCTTTACCACACTTGGGAGTGAGTTTGGACAAAAAGAAAAGCTCACAAGCAGAATTAAAAGCATTCTCAATGCTTACCCATCGGAAAAAGAAATGTTGAAAGAGCTGCTTCAAAATGCAGATGATGCCAAAGCAACAGAGATTTACTTTGTTTTTGATCCAAGAACGCACCCCACAGATAGAATATTTGACGATAAATGGATCCCGATGCAAGGCCCAGCGCTCTGTGTATTTAACAATCAACCATTCACAGAAGATGATATCAGAGGTATACAGAATCTTGGGAGAGGAACAAAAGAGGCCAATCCAGGAAAAACTGGTCAATATGGCATAGGATTCAATTCAGTCTACCACATAACTGACTGTCCATCCTTCATCTCTAACAATGACATTCTTTGTATCTTTGATCCACATGCACAGTATGCACCTGGGGCCACATCTGTGAGTCCTGGAAGAATGTTTCGAGACTTGGACTCTGACTTCAGGTCTCAGTTTTCAGATGTTCTTAATCTTTACTTAGGAGCTCATTTTAAGTTGGAACGGAGCACAATGTTCAGATTTCCCATCCGCTCTACAGACATGGCAAAGACATCAGAGATCAGTTCTGTCGCTGCGTCTGACAGGATGGTACAGAACCTTCTGGATAAGCTTAAAACTGATGGTGCAGAGCTTTTGATGTTTCTTAACCACATGGAGAAAATATCAATCTGTACTATTGATCAATCATCTGGTGAACTAAAAGTGCTCTACTCTGTGACAGCCAAAATAACAGATGGTGACCGATTGAAACGCAAACAATTTCATGCCTCTGTCATCGACAGTGTGACCAAAAAGAAGCCGCTTCCTGCTATCCCAGTCCAGCAGATAACCTACACAATGGACATAGAGGATACTGAGGGAAATCTGACTACATGGATGATCTGCAACAGATCCGGCTTCCCTAACATTGAAAATGTCTCTAAAAGTGTGATCTCAGCTCACAAAAATGAAGACATCACCCTGTTTCCACGTGGAGGGGTAGCTGCATGTGTAAGTCACAACTACAAAAAACCCCACAGAGCTTTCTGCTTTCTTCCTCTTTCACTCGAGACAGGGTTACCCTTTCATGTCAATGGACATTTTGCCCTAGATTCTGCCAGAAGAAACCTGTGGAGAGATGACAATGGAGTTGGGGTGAGGAGTGACTGGAATAACAATCTGATGACATCACTGATAGCACCCGCCTGTGTTGAATTGCTGATTCAGCTCAAGCGTCGATACTTCCCAGGTCCAGATCCCACCATGACTATAGTCCAAGGAACACCACTTCATGTTGTTAAAGATACACTGCGGAAATATCTGTTCTTCTTCCCAGCCAACAGACTTGATATACAGCCAGACTGGTACTGCCTGGTTAAAGCAGTATACAGCTGTATCCATGCTGACCTGAAACGTCTCCTTCCTGTTGTCAGAGCAGCACAGATGGACAACTCTGAGATACACTCTGTCATTTATATTTCATGGGTGAATACATCTACAACAAACAAGGGAAGAGCCTTTTTTGATAACCTACTACAAGATGAACTTCAGCATTTGAAAAACACAGAGTACAACCTAACTTCAAGGAAGTCTGTGGCTGAAAATGTCTACAGGCTGAAAACCTTGCTTCTTGATATTGGTTTCAACCTGATTCACAGCTGCGATGAAACTGCAAATCTCTACTTCTGTTTGGAAGATGCAGGGATTCCAGTACGTTATGTTACACCAAGTGATGTCCGTAACTTTCTTTACACTTTCTCATCACCGGATACATCATGCCATGTTGGAAAACTCCCCTGTCGTCTCCAGCAGTCAAACTATAAGCTAGTTCATAACTTGAAGCTTCTAGTGGACTACTGTTTTAAAGATATAGAGGAAAATGAAGTCAAAGTCGAGGGCTTGCCTCTGTTGGTAACAATGGACAACATGCTTCAGGTGTTTGATTCAAAGAGACCAAAGTTCCTGACAGCACACCATGAACTGATATCATCTAGGAAAGACATGTTCATGAACACATTGTACATTAGGTACAGCAACATCCTGTTGAATGCAGGAGTTGCAAAAAGCTTTGACATCAGCAGCTTTGGGGACCTACTTGGGTCTGTTCTTCCAAGAGAGTATCGATCAAAGATTCCTGTGAAATGGAGAGATACCTTTGCAAGTGAATCCTGGCTAAAGAATGTGTGGAACTTCATCAGTGAGAATATCGCTGTTAAGGATAATCAGGTGGAAGTGAAACCTAGCTTCGACACAGTGCTTGAAATTCTGAAAGATTGGGCTTTGATTCCTGGAATCAAATTCATGGCCAGAGAAAAGCTTGTTGTTCCAGAGTATGATGTGCTTCTACCTCTGAGCTTGATGAGCATTGCCATATTTCCACAGGGCCAAAATGACAAAGTCTTTCATACCCTAATGAAAGCAGGGTGTATTCAACTTGCAGTTAACAAAATCTGTGTCAAAGAGAGTCAGCTCGTGCCTTTTCTGACACAGTACACTGCAAACATTGAAAATCCATCAAGTGTTCTGAAAGCTGTAGAGTACATGATTCAGACATCTGCATTCAAATCAGGAAACCTGAATGACAAGGACTTTGAGGCTTTTTTGTTATATTTCAACTGCAACTTGGCTAGCCTCACACAAGAAGATGCACAGAGCCTAAAACTCCTCCCATGCTTTAAATCAGTTAGCGGAAAATATATCAGCATTGCTAACTACGGGGCAAACTATGTTCTTGCCAAAAGTCTCCCTTCTGCGGACATAGACAAATGGGCGAACACTAACTCCTTTGCATTTCTTGCAGATTGTCCGCAGCTCAAAGAGTTGTATACGTTCCTTGGCTGCATGCCAATAGATGACTTAGAAATCTACCTCCATCATCTTCTGCCAAAGTTTGAGAGTCTTTCCTATGATGCCAAAGTTGAACACATTGTCTATCTGAAGGAGAGGCTTTTGGCAATGGAAGAACCATGTGAGATGAAAGATCAGCTCTATGAGAAACTGAAGGAACTGTCGTTCATCTATGACTACTCAAACAGAATCAGGCCAACTAAGTTCTTCTATGATAAAACAGTTAAAGTGTTTGAAGTTATGCTACCTACAAAGTCATTCATACCTACTGAGTTTTTTAAAAAAGTAGAGCAAGTGTCAAAACCCAAGAATGGGACATTGTTGCTCACCTCATGGATAAATTTTCTGAGAAATATTGGTCTCAAGCATGAAGTATCACAGCAGCAAATTCTTCAGTTTGCAAAAGAGATCAGCATCAAAGCGCAAACGGAGTGCTGGACCAAGGAAAAAGTGCAAACCATTGTCGATGTTCTTTTGAACCATATTTTCAGTGAGAGGATGGACCTTTTTCAGGGCACTTTTCTCAAAGAGCTCTCAATGATACCTTTTCTGTGCCCTGAGAGAGCACCCAAAGAACTCATCAAACTTCATTCTCAGTACCAAGAGATGAGTGGCACACTTCCTCTCATACGTTTCAGTGGGTCCCAAGTGAATCCAAAGTTCAAGCAAACAGATATTATTCATTTGCTTTGGACATCATGTCCAATACTACCAGAGAAAGCTACACCTTTAAGCATAAGGGACCAAGAGGGTAGCACTTTCACTGGGCAAGAACAACTTGACCAAGTGTTAAACATGCTAGGTGTCAACTTGGACCCACCTCTGGAGAAAGTCATAAGCAACTGTAAGAATATCTGCAGTATATCCAATCCTGATGATGAAATGGTGAAAACCAGGAACAAAGTTCTAAGATCCACATATGAGTTCCTCAATGCAGATAAAAGAGATTTCCGTTACCAGCTCCGTGGAGTAGCCTTTGTCATGGTAGAAGATGGCTGGAAATTGCTAAAACCTGAAGAGGTGGTCATTAATTTGGACAATGAATCTGACTTCAAACCCTACTTGTACAAACTACCTCTAGAACTCGGTACCTTTCATCAACTGTTCAAAGAGCTTGGTACAGAGGATGTTGTGTCAACCAGACAATATGTTGAAGTGCTGTGGCGAATTTACAGAAATTCAGAGGGAAAGCAGCTTGACCCAAATGAAATGAGAACTGTGAAAAGGGTTGTTTCGGGATTGTTCAAGTCTCTTCATAATGAGCCAAAGGACATTCGCAAAGACCTTGAAGATCTAAGAGATCTGATATTTTACCTGCCAAGCCATGATGGTAGATTAGCCAAATCGAATGTGTTGGTGTTTGATGATGCACCACACTACAAGAGCAGAATTCAGGGTAATGTTGGAGTTCAGATGCTTGTGGATCTGAGCCAGTGTTATCTAGGCAAAGATCATGCCTACCACACAAAACTAATCATGCTACTTCCACAGAAGCTAAGGCCTAGACTGCTGAGTAGCATTCTTGAAGAGCAACTTGATGAGGACTCTCCAAAAATGTGCCAGTTCGGTGCCCTTTGCTCGCTACAAGGTCGCCTTCAGCTGTTGCTCTCATCAGAACAGTTCATCACAGGACTGATCAGAATAATGAAACATGAGAACGATAATGCATACCTTGTGAATGAAGACAAAGCCATACGTCTCTGCAAAGCGCTTTGTGAAGGGCTCAAAGTGTCCTGTTTTGAGAAACTCCAGACAACTTTAAGAGTGAAAGGATGTAGCCCTATCCCGCACAGTCGCAGCGAAACGCTAGCATTCCTCAAGAGATATGGGACAGCTGTGATTCACCTCTACATCCAACATTCAGACAGCAAAGACATTAACTTTCTTTTGGCTCTTGCTATGACACTGAAGTCTGCTACAGACAATTTGATTTCAGACACGTCGTACCTGATTGCTATGTTGGGCTGTAATGACATCTATAGAATCACAGAGAAGCTGGACAACCTTGGTGTTAAATATGATTCAACAGAGCCTTCACAGCTTGAGCTACCCCTCCCTGGAACCCCAATTCCAGCAGAGATACATCACACACTGCTCATGGATCCAATGAATGTATTCTATCCAGGGGAATATGTGGGTTATCTTGTAGACTCTGAGGGGGGAGACATATATGGCTCATATCAGCCCACCTATACATACGCCATCATTGTACAAGAAGTCGAAAGAGAAGAGGAAGAAAACACAAGTTTCCTTGGGAAATGCTTCCAGATCGACATTGGTTATAGTGAGTACAAAATAGTTAGTTCCCTCGACTTATACAAGTTCTCCAGACAAGATGAAAGCACTCAAGTTCGAGACACATCAACACCATTAACACCTACGAGCCCAGACAGTCGTTCCTCTGGTCTACGAATGGTCCCCCCTCCATTTCCTGGCAAAGAAAACTTGCGACCCCCTCCACATAAACAGTCTCCAAAAAAGATCAAACTTAAGGCATTGCCTGAGATTCTTAAAGAAGTGACCTTAGTAGTTGAACAAGCCTGGAAGCTTCCTGAGACGGAGAGAAAAAAGATTATCCGAAGACTGTATCTCAAATGGCATCCAGACAAAAATGCAGAAAATCTGGACATTGCCACAGAAGTCTTCAAGCACCTACAGAATGAGATAAACAGGATGGAGAAGCAGTCTTTGGCTGATCAGCAAAATACAGACAGGGCTTCCAGGAGAGCCTACTCTGCATCATCAACCCGCTTCCAGTCAGAGAAATTCTCATTTCAAAGGTTTTATTCATCGTGGAACCAGGAAGCAACGAGTCACAAATCAGAAAGGCAACAGTTCAGGGAACATTATACAAGTTATGCAAGTTCATCACACTCGCATCGTTTCTTTGTTCCCCCAACCTTTAAGACAGTTGGAAACCCTGTGGAGGCCCGCAGGTGGCTGAGACAAGCCAGAGCAAACTACTCTGCTGCTCGCAATGACCTTCATAAGAATGCTAACGAGTGGGTTTGTTTCAAGTGCTACTTGGCCACAAAGCTTGCATTGATAGCTGCTGATTATGCTGTCAGAGGAAAGTCAGACAAAGATGTAAAGCCAACTGCGCTGGCTCAAAAAGTAGAGGAGTACAACTCCCAGCTCAAAGGCCTCGCCAGTGACGTTCAGATCCTGGAAGGATACGGTGTGGACAGCCTGAGAACTCGCTACCCTGATCTCCTGCCATTCCCGCAGATTCCCAATGACAGATACACATCTGAGGTTGCAATGAGAGTGATGGAATGTACTGCACGGATAATCATAAAGCTTGAAACCTTTGTGCAGCAAAAAATATGATACTGCTGTTGATGAAGACGAATATGCATAGATCCTCTGTGGAATCGAGGAAATGTGTGATTGTGTGCAATACAGACCATGTATCAAGAATCCCCCCTGGCAGCTTATGGTACATATGCAGTTCACACCTGTGATGGCGGTGCTGTGGCTCATGCACAGTAAATACATGTATGGCTTCCATAACCTGTTAGGCTGCATTCATAGAAATTTGATGTAATATGTAAAAAAGCCATTTGTGCATATGCTGTACATACAGATGCCTCAGCAATACATTTTGTTTACCAAAGTCCCCACATTGACTATCTTTGCTCTAAGTTAGAAAAAATGCTGCTTTTTTTTTACTTTATCTTTTGTAAAAATAAATGAATATATTTTCTTGCTACGGAAAACCCGTTGGGTGTACTTAAAGGCTGTGCATATTATGAAAAAGGTCAAATCTGTCAAGTAATGCAGTTACTGTCATGCAACATCTCCTATTTGCAAAAGCTCAGCAAGTCAAGGAAGTACAATCATGTTTGTACATTTTGTTTGTACTTTTATGCTTGATTTCGTATCATTTTGTTATAAGTTGTACATTCTCTGTAACATAGCCAGGCACTTGTTTATGGACAGAGCACTTTTTGAAACTCATGTACTTGCACTTGTGTAGCATTAGTCAACCCAGAAACTTGGGACAATCCAGCTGTGAACAGAAACATGTTCTGTTAATTTTAACTCACTTGTATGTTTTGTGTCAGTCAATATGAAGTACCTGTACTCAAAGCTGGAGTGCAAGTGTCTTGCTTTTATCTGTGAAGTTTTAGAAAAGGCGATTAGTCAAGTATCCTTGTAGGTTTTTTTGGTTTTGTTTTTTACCTGTTTGTTAATACTCAGCAGGATTTGTGATAAAGAGCCATATTCTGTAATCTGGGCACAACCCAACATGTTAACCTTTGCCAGCATTAACCCATGTTCATACTTTTTATTTTTGTCAGTTGAATCTTTTGGTTTAAGGAACATAGATAAGCACCAGACTGTGGTGCTCTTGTGTTTTTTTGCTGATTTAGCAGCTTGGTTTTACCTCTGATTTGAAGGACGATACACACACTGATCACACATTGTAAACAGAAACAATAACTTATACCTCAAGCTTGAGGTCACTCAGTCAAGACTGTCCCCTGAATAAACTTTGGAGTTCTTTCTGTAGATCATGATGATGTACACTAGCCATAGAAAGCCCTAATAAATTCACCCCCCCCCCCCAAATACTCTGTGCCAGTTATTGCTTGGACATTATTTTAAAATAAGGTGTATTTTGAATAGAGGAGCGTGACTTTAATTTTGCATTGACAGAAACTGATATTTTAAAATGAAATATTGATATTGTATCAGTAATGTATACTGTTTTACAGTGAGGTGTGAGTTTTAATTACTTTCTTAAAAAGACAAGATGCAAAGTTATAGATGAATTGGACTGACTGAATCACTGCAATCCTGTGAAAAAGAACTCTGTGCTATCCTGAGATAAACTATGCAAACCCCACTGCATATATCATATACACCGTGGGGTTATCAGTCTCTCACATCGTTGGGCAAATGTTGGTTTTGGAAAGATGTAGTGCAGTGTATTATAACTAGAGCTAAATAGCTTCTCTTTGGTCATTTTTCCAGATGTCTTGCGATTTGTTCAGATGCAATTTAACAAACCAAAGCATGGTACGTCTTGGAGATACGATTCTTTCTTCCGGCAACCCTTCTAAAAAAAGCCATACTTGTCCAGCTTGAGGTCTGTAGTCTGAGATGTAGCGCTTGGTTTTTTGCAGTTTCTCTGAGCATTGCATGGGCTGACCTCTGGGTGGACTTCTTGAGACATCACCTGTTAACTGTCTTGAATGTTTTCCACTTTTAAAGAATCTCTCACTGTAGAATGACGGACTTCATAATGTTTGGAAATGACCGTATACCCATTGGCACACTGATGGGCAGCAAAATTTGCTTTTCTAAAATCTTTCCTCACAATCATGTTAACACACACCCGAATGCTCCAGACTAGCAAACAGCCAAAATGTCTGCTATTACAAAGGTGCTTACACTTGTTCGTGATCAATTAATGAAGTGCATTCATAGCAACACTTGGCCACTACTTAACTTTTCCATTCCTATGGAAGCTAAAAGGGATAATTACTTTTTCACAGGATTGTATATTTAAATATGTATTTAAAGTTGAGATACCAAAATTATGATATGTCTATAAGATAATCATGATGTGTAAAATGTGATATAGTGACAGTCATGTTTTAAGCACAAATGCTCCTAGTGTCCTACAGACTTGCATCTGCATTTGCATTAAAACCTCAAAGTTATAAGATTTATTACAATGTAGTATGTTTATTAGCTAGCCATAGCTGGTACTAGTAGAACTATTTTTTTTAATGAAGCTGATTTCTGGAGTTATTTGAAGGGTTAAATTTACACTTGCCAAAACAAATTGATTTTCTACGCTGACATCACATTACTGCAGTTTGAACCATCCTAAAAATAAAGAGCATACAGCTTCATGACCCCGCTGCAGCACACACTGTGATCCACTGAATAAGCACAAAGTTGCTTCTCTTGGGCTGCTGGTGTCAGTCACTGTGGTGTTACTGCAGAGTTTTACCACTAGAGTGCATCACAGAGACATTAATTAGGCCAGTTACATTAAACTGAGTCCACCAGCATGCAGCTTACGTGCACATCAGTCTGTCAATGCTTTCATTTTCTGTTTTTTTCCTTTCTTTCTTAGATAGATTGAATTATAAAACAAGAGAACATTTTTTAGAAAAGCAAGCATGTGAAGATTACAGCTGCTGACAGGCAGGTAGAAGAATAGCACAAAGTTTATTCAAAAATAAAACATACACATTGCACACTATTAAAATATCTCAGGACTAATAATGAACTACTTAAAAAAGACTGATGACAAAAACACAATGGCACGAGGTGTACAGACGAACTGGTGCCAAACTCGGTGCGACTATCACTATAACATACTGATATTTTCGACCCATTTAACCAAAGGCAAATTTAATCATAAAGGCAATGGTTATACTGAAAGTATGAGATCCAAGTTCTTATTTTCCACATATTTTGTTTTTGCGTTCTTTTTTCTGAGGTCAGCAGTGATGATATATTAGTCCTTTGGCCATAAGTGAGATTACTGAACAAACAGACCAGCTCAGCTTACCAGCAGGAAATTGCTACGCAATTACATGCTTACAACATGCCAAACATGTGGCATGTGATCGCTGCTCTCTGTGTGTCTGACATCAGGACTACACATAAAACAGATTTCATCAATTTTGGTGGAGAGCTGGAGCACTGGCAAAGGAAGAGCCCATGACCTTTTTGTGCAGATCCAAGCCACTTACTTTAAAATTGCAAAATAGTGCACTGGCGTTGGTCTTATCAGAGAGTATGCTCTCCAAGTGCCCTTTGTAGATACACATGTGAAACCTCATTAATATCAAAACCTCATTATCTGAATTTGAGTTTAAAAAAAGAAAAAAGACAAAAAATAAAACAAAATATACAGCATTTGTGTTTGTCTCCATTTAAATAAATACATGCACCAACACCAAAACACAGCATACCAAGGGCTTGGACCAAGAGGAGATTGTATAAAGCAAAACAAATATTTTCAATAACACTCTGGCGTTGTTTCAGGGATTTATTTTTCAAATTTTCAAGCCCTTGATATGCTTCACTTTCATTTATTGCACCACAAGATAATATTGCATAGGATGTAAGCTGTTACCAGCTCCTCGTTGCCCAGCCATGACACTGTGTGTGTAAAAAAATGATCCATAAAGCTCTGATGCAGACAAATTTAGTTGTGAGAGCCAATTTGTTTCGGTTGAATGGTCGGAAGTTCATAAATGCAACTTAAAGAACTCATTTCATTTATGCCAGCAGGCATTTGTATTTTCACAGGCCTCAATGTGCCACTGGGATCCTGGTAGACCCACTGTGGTATAAAGATAAAAAAAACTGTTGTGCTTGTTGCCTCCCAGAAGGTGCCTCTTCTGAGAGATGAAAAATCGATGACCTTGTCAGACTCTATCTAGCAGTCCTGATTATCGCTGCAAGTGGAAGTTCTTCCAGCCTTGGACAGGAAGAGCTTTCCGCTGGGACAGACGCAGACCTCGTAGAGAATCTGAGCATTTCCAGAAACCCCGTCCTCGCTCTTGGGCAGGCGCGGCATGCGCACCGTCTCAGCATCCAGCACCAGCTGTACAGCAGACAGCACGGAGAGCAAGGACGATTAAAGGAGAACAACAAAGATCCAGCGAAAGAGCAAGGAAATATCACTCTGTTTCAGTCCTTTTACGTCATGCACGCACAATAAGACACAGTGTGCAGCGAGCTAAAGAATGATCTATTTAATACCTAACCAGTGCATGACGACATGATGATAATTTTTTTTTAAAAGAAAAAAGGTCTGGCAGTAAATCAGCTTAAAATGAGAGAACGTGAGCGTTAAAGTTAAGTGCAGATTAACATGCAGTTATCATCCTCACAGAAAAGAAAGATGAAGAAGTGATGCAGCACACAACTACTCTGTCATATAAATGTGCTGATCTACTGAGAATTAATTCAAAAAAGGTCAAATAAGTGCTCGTGATACAAATGGCTCTAACGTGCTTCAGTCAGCTCGCTGAACCACAGCTATTAGTCAGATCTGATTCAGCCACCAATTACCAAAACTCACTCTAAACACTAACATGGAAACAGCAAACCACTACCCACAACAAACCTACAGAGCACAAACAGATGTTTCCAAAGTTCAAAAGAAAGGGTTAGGGTTAGACGACATTCTCACTGCTTTAGAAAAAGATTTTCTTTAATATGTTACACTATATCCTTTTGATAAGAAAGATAAAGAGGCTTTTTAAGTGCCGGCTGTCTGTAAGGTGTTTCTACACAAAAATGTTCAGTAAATGGGAACAGCAGAGCGCCTTTCAAACTGCACTCGAGCTCCCAGGTGTGACCCGAGAGAGCGTAAAAGCGTAGCGCAGCATGTTTGCTGGAAAAACATGCTCTCTATATTCCCTCTGTGAGCTAAAGGAAAAAGCATGCCTGAAGACGGCTTTGTAGCAATCAGCAGGAAGTGAAAAGTGGATTTCGTACCAGCCCTTCTTTTGACTGCAGAATGACATCCATGTTGGAAGCAGCTTCAATGTTGCCAGCCAGAGCTTTCATAAAAACTCCTTTCGGTGCATCCATACTGAGCGAGCGAGTCGGGGACTCCAACCTAAAGAAACATCTCGACTTTAAAAACACCACCATTTTATCCGTTTGCTTGTTTATTTCACCTGAGCAACACCTGTGAGACTGAACCTAAACTTTGATTTCTTATAGTTTTGTATTTCTTTAGCAGATTGTTTTGAAAAATCCAATAATACACAAAGTCTGAAACGCTCACCTCAGCTCTTTCAACATTTCTGATCTCAGCTGAGGCACCTCCACTGAATGCTGGAACAGCGCTCCTTCAGGACCTGCAAACAAAGATACACAAACATCAAGATCTGTTACAGCATTTAACAGAGTCCAGGAGCCTGATATGGTCACAACACACACCAAACATTTTTAATAAAACAACATGAGTAGCTTTGCTGACAGTGGCATTCATGGTATGTTGGCCAGTTCACCCCTTTGTCCCAGACTGAAGTATTTTAACACTGCACTCACCCTGTTCAACTGCTTGTTAATGCAAACATCTAATCAGCCAATCACATGGCAGCAACTCAGCATATTTAGACATGTAGGAATGCTCGAGATGACCTGCTGAAGTTCAAACTGAGCACCAGAATGGGGAAGAAAGGTGATTTGAGTTATTTTGAATGTAGACTGACTGTAGCTGTCAGACGGGTTGCTCTGGGAATTTCACAAACTGCTGATCTACTGGGATTTTCCCACACAAGCATCACTAGTGTTTACAGACAAAGGTCTGATAAATATCCGGTGAGCAGCAGATTTCTAGCTGAAAATGCCTTTTTGATGCCAGAGGTCAGAGGAGAATGGTCTGACTGCTCCGAGCTGATAGGAAGGCAACAGTAACTCATTACTCATTACAACCAAGGTATGTAGGAAACTACCTTTCCTGACTCCTGTCAGCTAAGAACAGGAAAATGGGGTCTAAATTCACACCAAAATGGGACAACAGAAGGTCTGATGAGTCTCAAATTCTGCTCCAATATTCAGATTATGGGGTGAGA